AACTCTAGCTATGTTGACGAGAAGACGGTGGTATATTTATTGCAACCCAATCTTGTCAAACCCTCTGAATATATCCGCTATTATTACAATCGTCTCCTTCTAATACAATCCACCCTATATTTTTCAATTGTTTCTTTGCTGTATGTCGTCGTTCCTCTACTTAAATCAACACTTGTTTTTCTTCCATTTTTTACTCCGCCAAAATCCACACTTGTTGTAAACGTTCCTCTATTAAATTCTATCTTTTCGTTCCGTTTGTTACAGTTTACCCTTGTTGTGATCGTACAACTGATAAGCTCTCTATCGTCTCTTTAAACTATATTACGTTTAACTGATTTTCTTCTCAAAGCAGTGCTTGTTGCAACCCTCTTTCTGCTGAAACGGACTGTTTTTGCGAGTTGCAGATATTTTTTCTTACGGATCAGTAAATATCTATTTGCCCATGCAAATGTATGTAATATATGAACGGATAATAGTATAATAGTACACATTATAATTAAAGCTTGTACACATTTAATTATTGCACGTACGTGTACTCGTGTCTCTTCGCCTTACTCGACTTTTGTTCTGTAAATACACTTCGTGTCCCGGTGTCTCCTACATCTGTCAGTACATGTACTCGTGTCTCTTCGCCTTACTCGACTTTTGTTCTGTAAACACACTTCGTTTCCCGGTGTCTCCTACCTCTGTCAGTACATGTACTCGTGTCTCTTTGCCTCACTCGACTTTTGTTCTGTAAACACACTTCGTGTTCCGGTGTCTCCTACCTCTGTCAGTACATGTACTCGTGTCTCTTCGCCTTACTCGACTTTTGTTCTGTAAACACACTTCGTGTCCCGGTGTCTCCTACCTCTGTCAGTACATGTACTCGTGTCTCTTCGCCTTACTCGACTTTTGTTCTGTAAACACACTTCGTGTCCCGGTGTCTCCTACCTCTGTCAGTACGTGTACTCGTGTCTCTTCGCCTTACTCGACTTTTGTTCTGTAAACACACTTCGTGTCCCGGTGTCTCCTACCTCTGTCAGTACGTGTACTCGTGTCTCTTCGCCTTACTCGACTTTTGTTCTGTAAACACACTTCGTGTCCCGGTGTCTCCTACCTCTGTCAGTACGTGTACTCGTGTCTCTTCGCCTTACTCGACTTTTGTTCTGTAAACACACTTCGTGTCCCGGTGTCTCCTACCTCTGTCAGTACGTGTACTCGTGTCTCTTCGCCTTACTCGACTTTTGTTCTGTAAACACACTTCGTGTCCCGGTGTCTCCTACCTCTGTCAGTACGTGTACTCGTGTCTCTTCGCCTTACTCGACTTTTGTTCTGTAAACACACTTCGTGTCCCGGTGTCTCCTACCTCTGTCAGTACGTGTACTCGTGTCTCTTCGCCTTACTCGACTTTTGTTCTGTAAACACACTTCGTGTCCCGGTGTCTCCTACCTCTGTCAGTACGTGTACTCGTGTCTCTTCGCCTTACTCGACTTTTGTTCTGTAAACACACTTCGTGTCCCGGTGTCTCCTACCTCTGTCAGTACGTGTACTCGTGTCTCTTCGCCTTACTCGACTTTTGTTCTGTAAACACACTTCGTGTCCCGGTGTCTCCTACCTCTGTCAGTACGTGTACTCGTGTCTCTTCGCCTTACTCGACTTTTGTTCTGTAAACACACTTCGTGTCCCGGTGTCTCCTACCTCTGTCAGTACGTGTACTCGTGTCTCTTCGCCTTACTCGACTTTTGTTCTGTAAACACACTTCGTGTCCCGGTGTCTCCTACCTCTGTCAGTACGTGTACTCGTGTCTCTTCGCCTTACTCGACTTTTGTTCTGTAAACACACTTCGTGTCCCGGTGTCTCCTACCTCTGTCAGTACGTGTACTCGTGTCTCTTCGCCTTACTCGACTTTTGTTCTGTAAACACACTTCGTGTCCCGGTGTCTCCTACCTCTGTCAGTACGTGTACTCGTGTCTCTTCGCCTTACTCGACTTTTGTTCTGTAAACACACTTCGTGTCCCGGTGTCTCCTACCTCTGTCAGTACGTGTACTCGTGTCTCTTCGCCTTACTCGACTTTTGTTCTGTAAACACACTTCGTGTCCCGGTGTCTCCTACCTCTGTCAGTACGTGTACTCGTGTCTCTTCGCCTTACTCGACTTTTGTTCTGTAAACACACTTCGTGTCCCGGTGTCTCCTACCTCTGTCAGTACGTGTACTCGTGTCTCTTCGCCTTACTCGACTTTTGTTCTGTAAACACACTTCGTGTCCCGGTGTCTCCTACCTCTGTCAGTACGTGTACTCGTGTCTCTTCGCCTTACTCGACTTTTGTTCTGTAAACACACTTCGTGTCCCGGTGTCTCCTACCTCTGTCAGTACGTGTACTCGTGTCTCTTCGCCTTACTCGACTTTTGTTCTGTAAACACACTTCGTGTCCCGGTGTCTCCTACCTCTGTCAGTACGTGTACTCGTGTCTCTTCGCCTTACTCGACTTTTGTTCTGTAAACACACTTCGTGTCCCGGTGTCTCCTACCTCTGTCAGTACGTGTACTCGTGTCTCTTCGCCTTACTCGACTTTTGTTCTGTAAACACACTTCGTGTCCCGGTGTCTCCTACCTCTGTCAGTACGTGTACTCGTGTCTCTTCGCCTTACTCGACTTTTGTTCTGTAAACACACTTCGTGTCCCGGTGTCTCCTACCTCTGTCAGTACGTGTACTCGTGTCTCTTCGCCTTACTCGACTTTTGTTCTGTAAACACACTTCGTGTCCCGGTGTCTCCTACCTCTGTCAGTACGTGTACTCGTGTCTCTTCGCCTTACTCGACTTTTGTTCTGTAAACACACTTCGTGTCCCGGTGTCTCCTACCTCTGTCAGTACGTGTACTCGTGTCTCTTCGCCTTACTCGACTTTTGTTCTGTAAACACACTTCGTGTCCCGGTGTCTCCTACCTCTGTCAGTACGTGTACTCGTGTCTCTTCGCCTTACTCGACTTTTGTTCTGTAAACACACTTCGTGTCCCGGTGTCTCCTACCTCTGTCAGTACGTGTACTCGTGTCTCTTCGCCTTACTCGACTTTTGTTCTGTAAACACACTTCGTGTCCCGGTGTCTCCTACCTCTGTCAGTACGTGTACTCGTGTCTCTTCGCCTTACTCGACTTTTGTTCTGTAAACACACTTCGTGTCCCGGTGTCTCCTACCTCTGTCAGTACGTGTACTCGTGTCTCTTCGCCTTACTCGACTTTTGTTCTGTAAACACACTTCGTGTCCCGGTGTCTCCTACCTCTGTCAGTACGTGTACTCGTGTCTCTTCGCCTTACTCGACTTTTGTTCTGTAAACACACTTCGTGTCCCGGTGTCTCCTACCTCTGTCAGTACGTGTACTCGTGTCTCTTCGCCTTACTCGACTTTTGTTCTGTAAACACACTTCGTGTCCCGGTGTCTCCTACCTCTGTCAGTACGTGTACTCGTGTCTCTTCGCCTTACTCGACTTTTGTTCTGTAAACACACTTCGTGTCCCGGTGTCTCCTACCTCTGTCAGTACGTGTACTCGTGTCTCTTCGCCTTACTCGACTTTTGTTCTGTAAACACACTTCGTGTCCCGGTGTCTCCTACCTCTGTCAGTACGTGTACTCGTGTCTCTTCGCCTTACTCGACTTTTGTTCTGTAAACACACTTCGTGTCCCGGTGTCTCCTACCTCTGTCAGTACGTGTACTCGTGTCTCTTCGCCTTACTCGACTTTTGTTCTGTAAACACACTTCGTGTCCCGGTGTCTCCTACCTCTGTCAGTACGTGTACTCGTGTCTCTTCGCCTTACTCGACTTTTGTTCTGTAAACACACTTCGTGTCCCGGTGTCTCCTACCTCTGTCAGTACGTGTACTCGTGTCTCTTCGCCTTACTCGACTTTTGTTCTGTAAACACACTTCGTGTCCCGGTGTCTCCTACCTCTGTCAGTACGTGTACTCGTGTCTCTTCGCCTTACTCGACTTTTGTTCTGTAAACACACTTCGTGTCCCGGTGTCTCCTACCTCTGTCAGTACGTGTACTCGTGTCTCTTCGCCTTACTCGACTTTTGTTCTGTAAACACACTTCGTGTCCCGGTGTCTCCTACCTCTGTCAGTACGTGTACTCGTGTCTCTTCGCCTTACTCGACTTTTGTTCTGTAAACACACTTCGTGTCCCGGTGTCTCCTACCTCTGTCAGTACGTGTACTCGTGTCTCTTCGCCTTACTCGACTTTTGTTCTGTAAACACACTTCGTGTCCCGGTGTCTCCTACCTCTGTCAGTACGTGTACTCGTGTCTCTTCGCCTTACTCGACTTTTGTTCTGTAAACACACTTCGTGTCCCGGTGTCTCCTACCTCTGTCAGTACGTGTACTCGTGTCTCTTCGCCTTACTCGACTTTTGTTCTGTAAACACACTTCGTGTCCCGGTGTCTCCTACCTCTGTCAGTACGTGTACTCGTGTCTCTTCGCCTTACTCGACTTTTGTTCTGTAAACACACTTCGTGTCCCGGTGTCTCCTACCTCTGTCAGTACGTGTACTCGTGTCTCTTCGCCTTACTCGACTTTTGTTCTGTAAACACACTTCGTGTCCCGGTGTCTCCTACCTCTGTCAGTACGTGTACTCGTGTCTCTTCGCCTTACTCGACTTTTGTTCTGTAAACACACTTCGTGTCCCGGTGTCTCCTACCTCTGTCAGTACGTGTACTCGTGTCTCTTCGCCTTACTCGACTTTTGTTCTGTAAACACACTTCGTGTCCCGGTGTCTCCTACCTCTGTCAGTACGTGTACGTGTACTCGTGTCTCTTCGCCTTACTCGACTTTTGTTCTGTAAACACACTTCGTGTCCCGGTGTCTCCTACCTCTGTCAGTACGTGTACTCGTGTCTCTTCCCCTTACTCGACTTTTGTTCTATAAACACACTTCGTGTCCTGGTGTCTCCTACCTCTGTCATTACGTGTTTATTTGCATATTCCTTTAATTGTTTTCCATTCCCTTATTCTATTTATTGTTCCATTCCAGGCGTATAGCTGGTGGTTGGATGACATGTATATGAAGAATCGCCTGCCCCTCCCAATCAACTCCAACCCCGGGATGATATTTCCCAAACAACACTTCATCGACCGCAGGGATCAACTCCGGTAAGTGTGCACTGTAAAGCACAATGCATCCGATTGGTATTAACAGTGATGGTCCAACAATATTCACGGGCATCTAGAATGTTTATACACCGGGAATGCAGCTAATAAGTCGGCTTATTATAACCGACTCACGTTTATTAGTCCCTGCCGACATAAAAAAAAAAAAGTGTGTATCAATGTTTAACCGAGACATTTAATACACAAGAGTATTTCATCAACACAGTAAACGTACTGTTTTTGAAATCTTTCCAACACAATTTGGCTTGAAGCCGTGAAGTATTCCTAATGTTGGTGACAACCTTAAGTTTTCCGATTACCCTAGCAGTAATAACTTCATAAAACTATTACACGTGCCTATAGTATCAATAACCTGTCAGGTTCTATTTTGTCCCTAAAATGGAAATCAATATGCCCTCCAGCGGCCATCTTGAATTTCATTAAAAGATATTTTTCTTCTGTGCGATATCTCTTAATGGTTTGATGATTTTTATGAAATTTCTGCACACACCTGTAGTATCGATAGCCCACTCAAATTTGATTTTGATTTATTCTTGGGTGGATTCAAAATTCAATATTGCTATCAGTGGTTATTACGGTTTTCGTACAGATATGATTCAAGAATACAGTATATGTTTTGAAGTAATTATCGGATTTGCTGAAATCTTTCTGGTGAACTTACTTTACCCATGACCCCCAATTAAATTTCACTTTCTCGAAAAACAATTAGCTGCCGTGATCTGCTTGTCTGATGATTTCCTCATAATGTCTTTGAAGGGATTATCGGATTGCGATTCACTTTGCCCGTTACATATTTTTTACCAAAGTGCATCGCTTTTGCTTGATACCCAACCAAATTCACTTATTTTGCTAAAAGCTGATTCAATCTGATCGAAGGTGCATCAGTAAATATAATGTATTTCATTTCTTCATCATTGGATAATTGCCATTAGACATCATTAAAAATGACAGCTATACACAGTATGCCAGATATTAATTACGTTACATCAGCTCAGTTAACGTGGGCGACACATCTGCTTCCATGGAATTCTTGTATTGTTTTTAATACAGTGATATTTCTTACTGAAGAAATGTTTCACCTATGACGTTGAAACATTCAAATATCTAGGGGTTTATTCAAAGACAAACTTAACTTCTACTTGCTTATTGCTGTAGAACACAACAGTCACTTGGGTCGCTGTATAATATGACAGAAGAAAGATAACTCGCTACTTACACCACTGCTACCTCGTTTGGTATAGATCGTGAATAAAACCGTTCTTAGAATTAAGGATACATAGATGTTAACCCTATATTTCATGTATCAACTGATGTACATGCTAATACTTCGATAACGTTCAGAGAATAATGACTAAGAAGGTTTTACCCGGAGGGACATGCGTCCTTGAACAATCTATTCTCCTGTTAATTGCTTAGGAATTCAAGGCAGAAGATTAGACGAAATCACATTTAAATTTAAAAAATGAGCTTATTTAGTTTTAAAAAATCTAAAAGAAACATGATCTTTTTTAAGCCAGCATAAAACAAGGTTGATAAACCGAATCTTCGTGAAATACAGGGATAAAATTCCGGAATCCCGCGGGAAAGTACACACCAGTAGCCGAAATGTAAAACACTGCTAACCATCTCCAATCTCAACCATTAGCCGATAATGGCGTCGTGTTCATTTAGCTGTCTCATTAGACGCTTGGAAAATGACCCGTTTATACCCCTTTTGGGAATAGTGTCGAGCGTTCCACGAGCAGTCATATAGGGCTCTCCTCCGCAAACCATTGACGGCAGGACAACGAACTAGCTGGGAATCTAAAACACGTCTCTCCAACAACGTTATTAGAATGGTCTGGAGCTCCGTCGCGAGGCCTACTTGTCATTTTGACAAGCTGTCAGGGTCCCTATGATTCCAGTGATGCCAGTGCGCGGGAGTCGTGAGTGGTCACGTGCAGTGCTCGTTGGGGTTATAACGCGACGCCATTCAGATATCGGCACGACACCGAGTGTGCCCCATAACGGGTGTAATGTTAATTTTCAACAGAACCAATCTTCTTTATTGGACATGGTAAATTGTTTACACGATCGTAAATCTGTGGTATAGGGGTCGGGTTTGGCGACTATTCCACACTTCTCCTTGACTTTCTCCTTGATCAATTCACTTTGTCCTGTTACGTTGAAATGACAAAAGCTGAATGAAGTGTTAAGTGGACGGTATAGGAAGATTTGTTTGTTCGAGGTTGGCCACTTTTTAAAGCAAAAAGACATTGCCAAGACAAGCATCATGTAAAACAGCAATAAACATTAAAAAAATCTTGCGTTTGTGACACCTACGTCTAATAAGTAGTTAAGAAAATAATATATTCAGGGTAAAATTACTGATAGATTATCGCTTGCTTTTTAAGTTTTAAGTACTTGCTTACGTCTTTAATTTAACATTGCTGGTTATTACTTTCTTATTTAATGTAACTTTACTGATCATCGCTTACTTATTCAGTTTAAATGAATGATCATCACTTCATTACTTAATCTAACATTACTGATAATCGCTTCCGTATTTAATATAATATTACTGAGCATAGCTTTCTTATTTAATCTTACATTACTGACGATCGCTTACGTATTTAATCTTACATTACTAATCATTGCTTAATTGTTTAATTTAAGTTATTGATCACATTAATGCAAACCTCATCGCTTATTTTCTAGTATTTCGTCTAACTTTACTCATAATTCGTTATTTGATTTCTCAGACTCTGTCCTACCTTGAGTGCAGCTCAGGGTAAGGTGCGGTTGAACTGAAGCATGAACATTAACTTTAAGATGTGTTTTGTTTCAGATACGCAACGAGACTTATTTCCGGAATACTTGACTACAAGACAATTATTGACGCGTAAGCATTAATCCGTCAAATCACTATTTTCATCGATGTTTCTATGAAATGAAATGTTCTTATCGATATCGTGTCGTGTCATCATCATTCAAAATTGAAGAAACCGTTTTGTTTTTATATTTCATAGACATGGCATAGAGGAGAACTATACAGGCATTGCATGCGACAGTCTACTTTATCGTCGGTCATTATGTTCGTAGCACGTCATGTGCTGTCTTCATGTAAACTCATTTCCTACTCATCCAAAGAATTACGCAAGAATTATCATGAAAGTGGTTACTTTTTGTTAATGATATGAAATTAAGCGGCAACTTTGACGGTTTCGCTTTCATATTGATATCTCAGATTTGTCAATCACTATGAGTTATCACTTCAACAAGATATATCTGCGGCTATTATACAGGAATAATTTAAAATCTGTCAGGGAATTTAATTTGCAGTTTGAAGTTTCTTCATTAACTATTGACATAGGGTTACTTGGATCTTCTGGAAACATAAATGTGAAATTGCATTTTTACTTCATCGGTATTTCATTTGAATTTTGATTTTTGTGATTTTTGTAAAAAAATAACGAAACTGTGTATGCATGTAACACAGACAGAGTACCAAGTCTATGCAGGAGCTAGATATCCCATTCACATGTGCTATAACCGCAGCTGAAAACAAGATAATTCCCTTAACTAGTATTTTCATACACATCGATTTTCTCTTAAATAAAAATAAAAATAAATGAATCTTTAATGAATGTGAATATAAACGTGAGGTATAATTAACGGTAGACTCTCTTTGGTATGATTCTTTATTAGGAATTTATCAACTAAACTCAGCAGCGTTAGACGTACAATTTCACTTCATTCCCAGTCTAGTAATGATCAAGGCAATATACAACTGGTCTCAATATAGCTATTGCATTTTATGTGACCTTGAATTTAAATTGTTTCTATGGAGTTGTGTCCTTGAACTGCTATTCTCGTTCTTTATTGTAGCGACATTGCGCTACATTAACACATGGTCACTGAAGCATTTTCTCACTAACTTGAGAATCTTTGCTGGCTTTATTTAGTTTCAAAACCAACCTATTTTACACAGATTTGATCTGATTTGATTTGATTTTGTTTAACGTCCTAATAACAGCTAAGGTCATTTAAGAATGTGCCTCCATGTGTGTTGTGTAAGCGTGAATGTGTGTATGTGTGCCGGAAACAGGGTATATTGGGGTAAGTGCCTCCCTGTGATAGCGCGGATCTGATGCCGACTTTATAGTGTTATCTCACTGAAATACCATGTCGGAGGCACCCAGTATAGTAATCCGCCCGGTAACATTGTACTGACAACGGTAGAACAAGTCGTTTAACAAAAAAAAAAAAACATTAGATGTATAAAAATTGAGTGTTTATATTTGCCGTTGTATTTATCACCATGTGAACTCGTTGAAGTTCTTTTTAATGAATTTATTATTATATTGTGTTCTGTATTATACAGCCGCTATTCGTACTATTGCATGGTGAACAATTGTAACACTCCTAAGTCATATCAAGAGCCAACATCCGTTCAAATATAAACCAGGGCCCGTATTCATGAAACCTTTCTCATGCTCAAGAATGAGTTCGGTGCTCAAGCATCCAACTTTCTTATTACCCACTTAAATCAGGTCACATGGCCAAAAAGTCAGGTGTAAATATGAAAACCATATTCGGCTTAGAGTCTTTCCAAATTTCTTACAAAAAATTGTCAAAATGATTTTTTTAACTTATCACTTGCACAAGAAATTAGGCTTGAGTAAAGAATCTCAGTTTCGAGCATGAGAACAGTTTCATGAATATGGGCCCAGTAACTAAGGAGACACCAAAGCGAAAGGACACAAAATCATGAAACTGCCACCAAAAGATCTAGAAGCGGTGGGAATCCTAGGGGCTATGAAATGCATTGCACATACTAGACGTTTTTATATAGAATATTGCTGATATCTATACTATCACAGTTTTTGGTCGGTTTGTCTTCTGTCGTCTGGAATGGACCCAGCACCGAATACTAGTAGTGGTAGGAAAATCTATTTTGGCCGATCACCAGTTCATGTATAACTAGTTGACTGATATGTGTGGCAACTCTTGTACTGTATTTGTCTCAGTGGAAATTGGTAATCAATAATAACATTACCAACGTCATATACGAATTTAAGCCCTAAATTTATCTTCCATTACTTAAAACATGACGTATATGCACCATTATTATTATAAAGAAGGATATTTTCCGGGCCTTGTGTGTTGCCAATTCCTGTTGTATCTAAGGTGTGGACAATTGAATACAAAGCAAAAAAATGGCCGATTCTGGCACATCAAAGTTTGGAATCATGTTATAATAAAGGAATGTTATGTTTCATTTATATCAAATTCGCTCCAGAAAAAAACTTCTACGTGAAAATGTATTGATCAACAGGACGATTACACATTACAGCAGAATGTACATCGACAATCTCTTGTCTGGATTAGCGATTTAAGTATGCTCATATGTTACTACTGGAGTGAAACATAAACACATATATTGGTAAATATCAACAAAGTTGACGAAAGTTAACGAAAAGAACTTTGTTGTGACTTTATACAAGACACATGTATTCTCGAAAAGCAACATAATATCCTCGTTATATCTCAACATAAAATGACAGGTTTGGGTGAGAATCTTCTTTTTCCTTGATACCAAACCTTGTACCAATTCAACTTTTTAATAACCCAAAAGTAAATTCGCTTAAATTAGTTTACAGTTAGCTTTCATTGGAATACCATGGCAAGTAGAAATATATTTCAACCAATATCAGAATAAGAACCTGTAAATTATGTTCTCATTTTGTTTTTTAATGTCATATGTGAAAGATAAGTCCTTGTGTTATTGACAACTAAATATTTGTATCCATGTTTGTTTAAACAGAAAGGACTGATATATCAAATATTTTAGGTGATTCAAGTTTGGAATGAGGAATGATGATATTGAATGAGAAAAAAGGCAAAATATTAGTAGTTTGTTTTTCGTAGCAGAAAAAGATTAAATCTGTTTAAGGAACTCGTTTGAGGGTTTCAAACCCACTTTTCATTGATACCACAAAATGGATAGTGAGGTAAAATGGTTAACTTGAACAAGAAAAAGACTCATTATCGAATTGTTTTTTGACCGTATCGTTATAAATATCATGATGTGTAAGTTATGTATTGTTGAGGCAAAATGATTTCGAGAAACCGATTTTTATCATATACCCTTTTTTTTTTTAATCTACTAAATATAGACGAGGTTTACCCATCGATCGAGCCCGTCACAAGATCAAAGGTCAGCCGTTATGTATGGAGCAATACTACCGCCTGTTCACGTCATACCGTGTCCCGGGGGTTAACAAGGACAGCCTAATCTCCAACACCAGCAAACTTATGAGGGAACCAGAACATATCATCGTCATTTGCAAAAACCAGGTAAAAGAACAAAGTCACAAAATAAGTTCTTCGAATATTGAGTGTCACAGAAAATACATCAATGTTTGTAATAACGACAATAAATGTCGATATTATGTGTCAGGAATAACACAAAATGTTGCTTTGTACTTGACTCTTTAACCGGAAGTGTTGGAAAATTGTCAGATTTTGAAGAGTACATTTCTCACCAAACACTCACCAAAACAATACAGGTATTTTGCGTAGGTCTTAACACTGATAAATCAGCACTTAGAACCACACAAGGAAAAATGCCTAGGCTTTATCAATGTCGTCTTCGTATCTGTTTGACATATTTTACAAGCGTACATATAACCTTTGCTTTGAAAGTCCAATTTACGCTTGACGTGCGTCGTGCTTGACATCCGAGTTCGGACGTTCTAATATGCATACGTGTACATCACGTTTGATCTAGATAGTCCAAAGCTGCTTCCGTTGCCAATCCTCAGAACTGGAGACCGTACTTATCAGGTGTCAGGCCGTCAGTGTTCACTTCACTTCTCACTAGCAGGAAAATGGAAACTCCTCGTTATAAATTGCCTAAATAGCGACGAATATTTTCTAATTGTTTCCTTGTTACTATAGACTAGCTCAATCGTGCTGATTAGCTTACACGTGTCCTAATAAGGATTAGACAATTAGGTGTTCACGAGCAGGACCTCTATCATATTACCGCACACATCATCGTCTCCCCTCGATCGATGAAACGGATTTGCGTTGTCGATTAGAAAGATTACCGTGCCTTATGAACGACTTCTTTTTCCTTTTTGACGCCTGATTAAAGATTTATTCTGATAATTACAAATTCGCAGCCTTTTCCCGAAGGCTATGACTTGCAATCACCGGCTAATGAGAAGGGTTAAGGCTTTCCTCCGTCAACATATAGCTGTCTGATCCGCCATGATAGGGAGCTGTATGTGTGCTCTGATCTACAATTTAACCATTAGAATGGCAAGCATGCGTGAACAAATGCATGTATCCGAAAGTTGTGTCACTAGAATTCCGATTAGAAAACAAATTGGTTGTTTATCTGTATAATAATTTATAGTTTAAGAAAAAAAATATAAAGTTCAAAAGTAGAAATGAGCATTTTCTCTTTCAAAGATACTACGTGGTAATAATAAGTATTGAAACTGGCTGTCGAACGCACCAACGCCAGTTCTCTTCCAAACCTTTAAGTTTCTAAAGTAGTTGAATTGGTTAATCTGGGAAAAACATTTATATATTTCAAATATAACACACATGCATAACTTTTACCGATCATCAATGAATAAATCATAGTGGAAAATAAAAAAACTGGAAACGTATCATTTGTCCCCAATTTAATGCATCTATTAATTATAATTACGAAGGTCAAGGTTAAATGTGGACATCAATACATACTTAAAAGTAAAGAAGGCATATAGCATACAAATATATTCTTTTGTCCACCAGTTTTTCGTCTTGGATGTCGTGATCAACTTTACCCGTCTAAGCGAGGACGACTTGCTCACACAATTACACCGGATATATAAGATGGCGGAGGAGGTGAGCGACGCAGAGCCAGTCGGAATACTTACGGCAGCCTACAGGGATAGGTGGGCTGACGCCAGAATCAAACTTATGCAAGGTATCATATTATGATTTTCCCTAACGTGAGTCATTCTAGGCCATGGCACAGAACGCTAGTTCTACTGATCGTTCTCATCTGTAAATGGTTCATATACATATGATTATGAGATTATGTGATTATATTATTGTATTTTATATAAACATATATTGCAATAGGGTTAATAGAATTTTTTATTGAAAATGAAGATTGTCTCTTTGTTGTCATTATATTTCGAGGAATATGAATGTTAGAGCATGCATGATAACATGTTGTGTCATAGAAGATTGTTCTTGTCAGCACCTCAGAACTCTCAGATACCAAACAGTGTATGAGAATGCCAAGTTTTCATATAGTAATGCGCTCTGGTCCCACACCAGACATCTGTCTGTGAAAATGTGTAATGTCTGGTTTCAGGACCAGAGGAAATTCAGGCTAGATAACCCGATTATCTCTGTGTGTCTCTTCAGATTCTTCAAATCGTGATTCCTTGGACGCCATTGAGAGGAGTATATTTATACTGTGTTTGGACAGCTCCATACCTATTTCTTTCAACCACCAAAATAGTATCGACGAGACAAATCTTAACATCCGGGACGAGGTGTCATTGTTGTACCAGATGCTTCACGGCTTCGGTACAAAACAGAATGGGGCCAACCGCTGGTACGATAAAACTATGCAATTCATCATCTCCCAAGATGGCGCCTGTGGTTTGTGCTATGAACATTCGCCGTCAGAGGGCATTGCTGTTGTTCAATTGATAGAACATCTATTGCGCTATATGTAAGTTGAACTTGTTTTTGAATGGTGGCGTTTTTCCTGTATAAGTAGGACTCTATTGATGTTTTCGAATGCTTCCTTACATGGGGACACTGTACCGATTGCTTATCGCGTTTAAAACTAACGTGCATCTTCTTAAAATTGAAACATACGCAAAAATGTACGTGCCACAAGTACCTGAGTAAATCAAACTTATACTTACATACAAAAGCCTAATGTACTGAACACAAACAACGTGTGAGGTATTGTGACTAATCCTACGAAAATCACTGAAATCAACAAATATCCTGTAAAAACAAAAGGCAACGTAAAATGAAAGCAAGGTCGCTATCCCATAGTTCTTTTGAAAGAAGGTGTAATTATTACTAAGTTTTTTGAGAAAGAGGTCTCTATTCTTATGTTCCTATGCAGAAAGGGGTCGCTATCCCTCAGTTCCTCTAAAGAAAGGGGTCGCTATCCCTATGTTCCTCTGGAGAAAGGGGTCGCTATCCCTATGTTCTTCTGCAGAAAGGGAACGCTATACCTCAGTTCCTCTAAAGAAAGGGGTCGCTATCCCTATGTTCCTTTGCAGAAAGGGATCGCTATCCCTCAGTTTCTCTTAAGAAAGGGGTCGCTATCCCTGAGTTCCTCTGCAGAAACGGATCGCTATCCCTCAGTTTCTCTTAAGAAAGGGGTCGCAATCCCTATGTTCCTCTGCAGAAAGGGATCGCTATCCCTTATTTTCTCTTAAGAAAGGGGTCGCTATCCTTCAGTTCCTCTAAAAAAGGGGTTGCTATCCCTAAGTTCTTCTAAAGAAAGGGGTCGCTATCCCTTAATTTCTCTGAAGAAAGGGGTCGCTATCACTCAGTTCCGCTGAAGAAAGGGATCGCTATCCCTAAGTTCTTAAGTTATGAGTCACCTTCTTCACAAGTGCTTTATTGTCATTGTAAGTTGTTGGTCTAATTTTGATAACACTAATGTATCGTTTTCTTTTGGCTTACACTTAAAATGAACTAGTTGTTAGCTCACCTGGACCATGGTGAGCTTATGCCATACCGCAGCGTCCGTCGTCCGCCGTTCGTCCGTCAACTTTTCCTTTAAACGCTACTAGTCCTGAACGGCCAAGTAGATTTTGACTTAATTTGGTCTGGAGCATCCCAAGGCCAAGATAACTCAATTTTGTATAAATGGTGGGTCTGACCCCCCTGGGGGCCTGAGGGGTTGGGCCCAATAGGGGTAATTTAGCAAATTCTTCAAAATACTTCTTCTGTAGGAATGACAGGATAATGTCCATATTTGAGTGACGGGGAACTTATTTTGTATCAACGGTGGGTCTGACCCCCTGGGGGGCAGAGGGGCGGGGCCCCCAATAGTGGAAACATACAAAATTCTTCAAATGACATGATTATGTCCAAAAGAATAGAATTCATCTTCAATTTTGCTAACATTTCCAGGTGAGCGATACAGGCCCTCTGGGCCTCTTGTTTCTAGATAAATTCATTCGATAATATCTGAGACCCAATATATTATTGCAGAGAAAGCAAATAAAGCATCTAAGAAAAAATATCAAACCATCTTAAAAACGAGTCAGGTTTATTTCACTTTAGAATTATGTCGACGTCAAATGCAGACAGAAAATGAAACCAGGTTCAGAATGTGTTTTTGTTATTTTGGCTTTTGAAGTTATTGTATTGGGTGTCTCTTAATGCTGCCTGAAATGAAGCATGTTTCTGACATTTTCGACTGTACTAGTTGTTAACCAATACACAAACATCAGGGGCGAGCATGGGGATATCATTATTGGTTGTATGTTAACACCCAACACACTTGAAATTATACATTCTTTTTCTCCAAGATTAACCCAGAAACATTCTCTTTTGATAACTCATACTTTTCAAAACTTATTTGTTAGGCATTTCTTTATATGTATGTATACGTTGTGCGCTAAATATTTGAATTATGTACTATCGTCTCAACTGATAATCGTTATATAGGGAGGAAATTCGGATGCAGAAGCTGACTAGGATGCAGTCAATTTGTGAGATCCCCTACCCCCGTAAGCTTAATTGGAAGGTGTCTGAGGAGGTGCACCAGCGGATGGAGGAAGCGACATCCCACATCAACAGGTCAGTACAACGGATCTATCATCAAACAATATATTGTGGGACACGAAAAAAGTTAGCATTGATTCATATAACGGATTTAGATAAATAATTCTTAACATTCCTAAGCATCTGGTTTCTTCTCGTTCAATTATGTTTACTTTTGTTTTGTTCTAGAGTCACCTTTGTCCCCGTTGTCTTTTTGTCTTGTTTACTGGGAGTTTTAAATGTGTCCTTGTGTGTTGACACAATAGCAATCATTTATTTTTTATTTAGCTCATGTGTTCTGTCATTGTGCTATGTTGATCAGCGCTACCATTGACAATTACCAGTCAAGCATTTAAACAGGATATATGTATGCATTTAAAGTAATCGAAGTCGTAAGTAACGTTGTTTGCTTGTTATTTTTTTTTTGTATTTTTTTGTATTTTTTTTTTTTGTATTCTTCGTATCATTTGTTTCAGAATAATTGTTGATTTGGATTTGTTTGTCCTCCGCTTTGAGAGGTTTGGACGGGACTTTCCGAAATCCCAGAATATGAGTCCCGATTCCTTCATCCAGCTGGCCCTTCAGCTGACCTATTATAAGTATGTCTTCATTACCACCTGCTTGAAGTATGTTTTCGTTAGTTCCTACGTTAAAACCCCTGTACGTTTTAATCCAGACCAACAAAAAGATGACCATTAATTGATAAAGCTTGTTCCATGATTATTGTAACATAAAAAATGATTACTTTCATAACCACAAAACCTACCTGTAGTATATGTTAATTAACACCAAGTAGTATGTGTTAATTGACACCTAGTAGTATGTGTTAATTGACACCTAGTAGTATGTGTTAATTGACTCCTAGAAGTATGTGTTAATTGACACCTGGTAGTATGTGTTAATTGACACCTAGTAGTATGTGTTAATTGACACCGAGTAGTATGTGTTAGTTGACACCTAGTAGTATGTGTTAATTGAAACATAGAAGTATGTGTTAATTGACACCTAGAAGTATGTGATAATTGACACCTAGTTGTATGTGTTAATTGACACCTAGTCGTATGTGTTAATTGACACCTAGAAGAATGTGTTAATTGACACCTAGAAGAATGTGTTAATTGACACCTAGAAGAATGTGTTAATTGACACCTAGTAGGATGTGTTAATTGACTCCTAGAAGTATGTGGTAATTGACACCTAGTAGTATGTGTTAATTGACACCTAGTAGTATGTGTTAGTTGACACCTAGTAGTATGTGTTTATTGACACCTAGAAGTATGTGTTAATTGACACCTAGTAGTATGTGTTAATTGACACCTAGTAGTACGCTTTCACTGACACCAACTACAGCTATCAGCTGTCACAGACATTTCGTTTTTACAAAAGACAAGAGATGAGAAATTGTGAAAGCCAATATCCACTTTCCCGTACCACTTTGATAGTTTTAAAATTCACAATACATGTAAATAGTTCAGTTCTCGATAGGGGTATAATAGGAACCACCAAACCAGGCGGCAAATGTTCCGTCTATGTTATAAACGTATGCTTACCACTTGTCTGTACAAGAAATATGTATTGTTAGTTTTGTTCACAAATTTTCTTTTAAGCGTTCAAACACAACCCCTATTTCTAAACAGAAGTAACGTATATTAATACAGATAATACCTTTTTTTTCAATTTCAACTTAAGGCAGTTTCGCAGCACATGTCTTTATACAAGAATACATTCCGTGTTATATAAGGACTATTCATCCTACGATAATTAATATGCATTGCAATCTATGAAACTGAGTGCGATATTTGACAACAATTGTCAACAATCTCGCAATTTGCAAGCATTCCGAAATATGAGACTATTTTCTGTGTAATAAATATGATATAGCGCCTTGCTTCTGAAATTGATTTTCAAGGCAGGGCGGCGAAGAACAACTATACATATGGTATTCCAACAATGCTAGTTATACACATAATGTACAGTGTATATCTATAACTTATATGTCCTGTCTGCACTGGAACATAACTTTCATTTTAACGATAGTCGTATCTAGGGTTTCACCGCGTCGTCCATGTGATCGAGACTCGCGCAAAGTCGAAGTACCTCTTCAATCAGGAATCCACAAGATACAGAAAGTAGCGTACCTAGATCACCGACGCTTTTTCTGACAGCTTATGTAACACCGTATACATGTAGGCTTCTCGTGACCCCCTTCGATCTCAATGTCTGGGAGCCGTCCTGGCTTCCCAACTGTCACCACCAATACTCTATCTCATCCGCCATCTGACAAGATAGATATACGCCTTACGATGTTTTACTAAACTCTTGTTAGTTTTGATGCGCTAACCTGTTTCTGCTATTTCTATTGGGTATGATATGTACTTCAATCTAAAAACAAATATTTAAAAAGCAATAACCACAGAATATCGAAGTGTGAACAAAACCATAATTTGAACCTAGAATCGATGAAGCTGTGGTAAAAATAGAGATAATCAAAAGGCAAAATGTACAAAGATACCATTGAAAAAGTACAAGGAAAATAAAACCAGGTGTTTAATCGACGACATTTGTCAAGAAAATTCCTAGTACTGGCACGTACTCAAAACGAGAACCGCTGTTATGAAACCACAGGACATACTACAACTGAGAATGATTAATATTGCCATGGTAAATTTAAACTTCATATTCTACACTTTTCTTAGTAAGACGAAATGATCACTATTGATAAGTATTTCATTAAGTTTTGTTTCTGTCCATCACAGGGTCCACCATCGTCTAGTATCTACATATGAAAGCGCTTCCACACGGAGATTTCGGCTTGGAAGGGTTGATAACATTCGCGCCAACTCACCCCAGGCTTTGGACTGGGTCAAGGCTATGGTCGGAGAAACAGAACTTCCGGTTAGTGTAAACAGCATTGTTCATTCTGCTTTGATAACAAAATTAAACGAAAATGGCGGTAAAAAGTGAGAAATACGACAAAGAGTAATGTACGATTAAGTGTGGATCTGTTATCGAAAACAGTGCAGTAATTTTTATCAAATTTATGGATATCGTTATCATTATTTTTACACAGATATTGAGTAAAGTGATATAGTTTGCTACCGCAGTAGACAATCATTTCTTAATAAGAGATAATTACATTTGTATTATATCTGTTTGATTAGAGATGATTACATTTGTATTATATCTGTTTGATTATAGACAATTACATTTGTATGATATCTGTTTGATAAGAGAGAATTGCATTTGTATTATATCTGTTTGATTAGAGATGATTACATTAGTATTATATTTGTTTGATTAGAGATGATTACATTTATATTATATCTGTTTGATTATAGACAATTACATTTGTATGATATCTGTTTGATAAGAGAGAAATGCATTTGTATTATATCTGTTTGATTAGAGATGATTACATTTGTATTATATTTGTTTGATTATAGACAATTACATTTGTATGATATCTGTTTGATAAGAGAGAATTGCATTTGTATTATATCTGTTTGATTAGAGATGATTACATTAGTATTATATTTGTTTGATTAGAGATGATTACATTTATATTATATCTGTTTGATTATAGACAATTACATTTGTATGATATCTGTTTGATAAGAGATGATTACATTTGTATTATATCTGTTTGATTATAGACAATTACATTTGTATGATATCTGTTTGATAAGAGAGAAATGCATTTGTATTATATCTGTTTGATTAGAGATGATTACATTTGTATTAAATCTGTTTGATTATAGACAAATACATTTGCATTATAACGGTTTGATTAGAGATGATTACATTTGTATTATATCTGTTTGATTAGAGACAATTACATTTGTATGATATATGTTTGATTAGAGACAAATACATTTGTATCATAACGGTTTGATTAAAGATGATTACATTTGTATTAAATCTGTTTGATTATAGACAAATACATTTGTATTATAACGGTTTGATTATAGACAATTACATTTGTATGATATATGTTTGATTAGAGATGATTTCATTTGTATTATATCTGTTTGATTAGAAACAAATGCATTTGTGTTATAACGGTTTGATTAGAGATGATTACATTTGTATTATATCTGTTTGCTTACAGACAATTACATTTGTATTATATCTGTTTGATAAGAGATGATTACATTTGTATTATATCTGTTTTATTGATAAGAGACAATTACTAGAGACGATTACATTTGTATTATATCTGTTAGATTAGGGATAAATACATTTGTATTATATCTGTTTGATTATAGACAATTACATTTGTATGATATCTGTTTGATAAGAGACCAATACATTTGTATTATAACGGTTTGATTAGAGGTGATTACATTTGTATGATATATGTTTGATAAGAGACCAATACATTTGTATTATAACGGTTTGATTAGAGGTGATTACATTTGTATGATATATGTTTGATAAGAGACCAATACATTTGTGTTATAACGGTTTGATTAGAGATGATTACATTTGTATGATTTCTGTTTGATTAGAGATTATTACATTTGTATTATATCTGTTTGATAAGAGAGAATTACATTTGTATTATATCTGTTTGATAAGAGAGAATTACATTTGTATTATATCTGTTTGATAAGAGAGAATTACATTTGTATTATATCTGTTTGATAAGAGATGATTACATTTGTATTATATCTGTTTTATTGATAAGAGACAATTACTAGAGACGATTACATTTGTATTATATCTGTTAGATTAGGGATAAATACATTTGTATTATATCTGTTTGATTATAGATGATCACATTTGTATTATGTCTGGTTGATTAGAGATGATTCCATTTGTATTATATCTGCTTGATTAGAGAGAATTACATTTGTATTATATCTGTTTGATAAGAGATGATTACATTTGTATTATATCTGTTTGATTAGAAACAAATGCATTTGTGTTATAACGGTTTGATTAGAGATGATTACATTTGTATGATTTCTGTTTGATTAGAGATTATTACATTTGTATTATATCTGTTAGATTAGGGATAAATACATTTGTATTATATCTGTTTGATTATAGATGATCACATTTGTATTATGTCTGGTTGATTAGAGATGATTCCATTTGTATTATATCTGCTTGATTAGAGAGAATTACATTTGTATTATATCTGTTTGATAAGAGAGAATTACATTTGTATTATATCTGTTTGATAAGAGATGATTACATTTGTATTATATCTGTTTGATAAGAGATGATTACATTTGTATTATATCTGTTTGCTTACAGACAATTACATTTGTATTATATCTGTTTGATTAGGGATTATTACATTTGTATTATATCTGTTAGATTAGGGATAAATACATTTGTATTATATCTGTTTGATTAGAGTTGATTACATCTGTATTATATCTGTTTGATTAGAGATTATTACATTTGTATGATATCTGTTTGATTAGAAATGATTACATTTGTATTATAACTGTTAGATTATAGACAATTACATTTGTATTATAACGGTTTGATTATAGACAATTACATTTGTATTATATCTGTTTGATTAGAGATGAATACATTTGTATTATAACTGTTAGATTAGAGACAATTACATTTGTATTATAACGGTTTGATTAGATTTGATTACATTTGTATTATATCTGTTTGATTAGAGATGATTACATTTGTATTATATCTGTTTGATTACAGACAATTACATTTGTATTATATCTGTTTGATAAGAGATGATTACATTTGTATTATATCTGTTTGATTAGAGACAATTACATTTGTATTATATCTGTTTGATTAGAGACAATTACATTTGTATTATAACGGTTTGATTAGAGATGATTACATTTGTATTATATCTGTTTGATTAGAGATGATTTCATTTGTATTATATCTGTTTGATTAGAGATGATTACATTTGTATTAAATCTGCTTGATTAGAGATGATTTCATTTGTATTATATCTGTTTGATAAGAGAGAATTACATTTGTATTATATCTGTTTGCTTAGAGACGATTACATTTGTATTATATCTGTTTGATTAGAGATGACTACATTTGTATTATATCTGTTTGATTAGAGACGATTACATATGTATTATATCTGTTTGATTAGAGATGATTTCATTTGTATTATATCTGTTTGATTAGAGTTGATTACATTTGTATTATATCTGTTTGATTAGAGATGTATCTGTATTATAACTGTTTGATTAGAGATGATTACATTTGTATTATATCTGTTTGATAAGAGAGAATTACATTTGTATTATATCTGTTTGATTAGAGATGACTACATTTGTATTATATCTGTTTGATTTGAGACGATTACATATGTATTATATCTGTTTGATTAGAGATGATTACATTTGTATTATATCTGTTTTATTGATGAGAGACAATTACATTTGTACTATATCCGCATATATCTACATGCCGTTTTAGGATTCTGAGATAATAAGGTTGCTGAGAAAGGCTATGGAATGGCAGACGGACATCATGACACAAGTAGGTTGCGATTCACTATCTAAGTTATTTTCTCCATCTAAAACAGCGGATAACCTCTATTATTACTACATTCATAGTTTGTTGTCTAGATTAAGTAGCAAAAATGCATAATATCTCAATTGTATTGCACCAAAATTGATGTGAAAATTAAAATTAGTCACAATAATTCAACCAAATTTTGTAAGAAACAAGTCATGACGTTAATCAGGGATATTGCTTAAACCATTGATGATATTTGCTGCCATACTCTATATGATTTTTTTGCCAAAAGAGATCAGCACTTGAATAAGGTAAACTATTTTTTCTAAGTGGTCTTTGTAAATTAATTAATAAAACTTGGACTTTAAGTATTAAATTTCCTCTTATTCGATACACGCATATGCTGCAAAATGCGTCTGTCTGTCTGTATGCATGTATGTCTGCACATGTTGACAACCGCTCTTTTTTGGTAACAGACTATTCTCGGACACGGCGTAGACATACATTTCCTAGGTCTTAGAGAAATTGCACTGGAGACTGAAAGGGACCTTCCAACCATTCTAAAGGACGAGGTTTTTCAAATATCAAACCACTTCTCTCTGTCTACGAGTCAGGTGAGTTGCGCCTATCTAACGGAAAAAAGAACGTTAGATTATGTTGTTTTGATTTGACTAGGTTGGTTTATTGGCTTGATCATCAAATCTTAATCCCGTACCAGAATCTCTGTGCCGTTCTTGTACTAATATTAAGGATGATATACACGCGTCCTAATCATTTGTGTGCAACTTAGAACTTTAAAATTGCATCTTTGACTATTTTTGGCAAATGATGAGCAATGAGCAATTTAGCAAGTATTTAACTGTGCATAGGAGATCAATCTTCTAATGTATTTTCCCTGTTCCATGTTAAGTCCGTTTTAGTGTGTCATTGTCCAAGTGTTATAATCTGATAGACGGAGTTTGTTTAATAAGAGACACTCCAATATAACGTTCCCTTTTGATATCGACCGTCACCATTAAGAGCTCAAAAATCTATTTCAGCGACATTTTAGTGCCTCTGTAATTACCTAACAATCTTTCCAATCTGAAGTTAAGTATTTTCTTGCGTAATGGCGGTAAAAGATTTGTGAAGATATTGTAAATCAATGCAACACGACAGTCCTGGTGCATTTAAATTCGACAACAAATGCATTTCCTTCCCGTTTCGATAATTATACATAAATTATTATTAAAGTGTTTTAATTCTACACATCGGAAAGACCAATGATTTTCAGGAAGAAACTGTTGCAATCTACTCAGCCGAGCTCGTCAGTGGCTTGCGTGAACTAACACTATCAATTATACTGATGTCTGAAAAGAATGCTTGTGTTAGAGAGCACTTAAGTGCAAACCATTAAAGAGTATTTTGGATATAATTATTAGACACAACATATTTTCTGTTCGAGTTTAACTGATATATTTTGGTTGTGTCAAATAAAGCAACCCCAAGGAATGTTCCAGGAAAATATAACATTCTGTGAATCCGTCTTCCTGAAATTAGCGTTATCTGCATTTTTCATTAAACATAGGGCCAATAACATAACATTTACATCGAAAGATCGCATAGTTCCTCGTTTGTGCATGAAAGCCGAATACAGGTTTTATTATTAACAAAATATTGGATTTTTATGAGTAAAAAAATATGATTTCTGTTTGTAAATATGTTAATGTGTCTGTGTTTAGGTTCCGACGACAATGGACGCCATGATGTGTTACGGACCTGTGGTTCCGGACGGTTACGGTGTGTGTTATAATCCACATCCGGACAACATTGTGGTGTGCGTGACGTCATTTAAAAGTAGCAGTGAAACAAGTTCAGCCTATTTTGCATACACGCTGGAGAGCAGCTTCCTACAAATGCGCGAACTATTGATCAAAGTAACAGAGGAGCAGGCAGTGTTGACCTGTTCAAGGAGTAATAGCATTGAGCGACGAAATGGGGACCTCACAAGGTCAAATAGCAAAAACGGAAGTCCTAGAAGATCAAAACTCGTGCGCCAAAAGCATGCACAGAACACCAATCAAGAGCACCCACAAAACGGATCAAGTAATTGATTTGTTAAGGAAATAAGAAAGAAAAAGAAGTATTTAGAAGCATTAAGTTGTTCAGATTATATGATGTAATTTAGAAAATAATCATAGAAATGTCTAGTATATTAGTGATAACGTTTGTTAGTGGGGAATGTTATAGATGTAACATAATTTGATGATAGGTTGGACCAATTTCACATTAATAAATTATCACAAATCCCTGAAACAAAACAGAAAAAACGAGATTTGAACTGTAAATATAGCGTAATTTAATAGGTTTATATAAATTTATATTTATTTCGACTGAATAAATTAATTCAATATGCTTAGTGTAGCCAGTAGTCACCGTAAACTTACCATTGGGTAAAACAGTGTGTTACTAAATATGGTTCTACATTTAGGTCTAGGTTTAGATCAGAAGTCGTCCTTCAATATAACAGCGATGTAGAAACACTGATTAACGACATTTTCGTCTCGGAGAAGATGTTTATGTGTATAACAACGAACAGTTAATTTGGAATGAATGCAACAAAACCTCTCAAAACATCAAATGTAGAGATGCTGTAGTAAACGTACGCTTTACCGTCTTTAAATGACCTAAGCTGTTAGTAGGACGTTAAACAAAATAAAACCAAACCACATCATATTTTAGCATGATGTTTAAATTGGGCGAGTATCGCGATAGTGTGATTTATTTAATATTTAGTAGAATTTGTTCCAGCATTGTCGGATGAACAAAGAAAATGCTTTGCATGCATGTTTTTAAAATAAGTATGGGTAATGAACAGAAGAAACAATCCAAATTTTATGAAATTCCCATTACTGTTTTAATTATATAAAATTGCCAACCAATAGTTAATTTCCCCTCATCTTTGTTTCATCGTCTGTCCTTCTTTCGCCTTTGTGTATTAAAACGAGTCGTCATACTCGTTATCATCCCTTTACGACAACGTCACAGTTTCGCGAAGAAACGCAGAGATAAAATTAAAAGAATCAGTCACCATTTGATTCTTTTCTCGTAGGTTTTCTTCGTTATCTTCAGTTTTCATTTTTTCATTGGTCGTAATGATATTTACTCAGTGCTTTTAGCATTATATCTATTTATAATTTTACTTTACGAACAAACACCCTAAAATCCTGTGTAAATAATACACTGAATAACCACGAGTAAATCCTTCCAAATTATATTTCACTTGAAGAGTTCAAAAATATAGCTACCAGTTAGTGACGTTAGTACCAAAGAAAATGTGACGTAGACCAATATGACCCTTGCAGTGGTAAAAGAGTTCTTTATTCGGTGGTAGATAGTCAGTATATATCTGTATCCCTCAGTTATGATGTGATCATCCCTTTTCACTATATAGTTGTATGATATCCGCAACAAATTAGTCACGATAAATAAACAGTATAGTGATGCAGTTATGAGAGCGCTAACTTCAGTGTATAGAAGATATCGGAACATGCTCCTCATTGCGGACTTGTATGATGTCTAGTCCAAAACGTTTAGGGGAACTTGATCTGGTTGTAATTGTCATTAGCTTGTCCGAGTGTTTGACTAAGATATGCTGCGTAGAATGCATATAAATTTACACATTAAGTTGTGTGGGTACACTTTTATCTACCAACCTGTAAATGGCTTTAAAGTTTGAAGCAATAGTGTATGGCTAATAATACAGATTTCTAAACATTCTTCATTTTGGAAGATTGACCAGAAAAGAAGCACTGATCCTTAACATTTTGAAACATTGAGTTCTACGAGAATTAATTTACAAACCTGTATCTATGACATATACAGTATTATAAGGATGATAGTAAACTGAAAGTCGGGTTACATTTAATCACATTTTGCATTTGTTTCGTCAAAAAATATCTTATATCTACCATTACGATGTGAAAGAAATAGCCATCAATAAAAAAAAAATTGAGTTGTTTCTCTTTCCACAAATAAAACAACTCCTGAAAATACTTCTGGTACTATTTAGTTATCGAAGATAGCATATTGTTCGAATTGAACACGCTGGAATATAAACTTGGCAGTACATGTATATGTTTCACTACATTATTGCAGATGACATTTCTTATCAAAGATAACAATACCGGTCGACAGTAAAATTGAAGTGAGAGTGTGTATTTAAGCCCTCCACAAAAGAGCCATTCAGTTACAAAAATGTTTGTGTATATGGAACAGGACAATAGAAAACAACCAGAGTCAGAAAGTCAAATATGCTTTTTACACATTTCAAGAATTCAAACAGATTTATGATATTAATACAAACTTTTTGCGATACCAGGGTCTAATTACTGCCATTAGAGAGTATATTATACAACAAGATATGTCAAATGTAGAGGTTAACTATCCATTTTTACCAATTAATATAGAAATGTTTTTGAAAAACAAAAAGGGGATAAGAGATTTTTATAGCTTATTTTGTAAAAATGATACTATTTCAACAGGTAAAAAAAAATGGGATGATATATTTCAATTTGATGATGAAGTTTGGAAAAAAATATATATAATGCCATTTAGAATTACGAAAAATACCAAATTACAGTGGTTCCAGTACAGAATTAATCAGCACATTTTGACAACTAATGCATATTTGTTTAAGGCAGGAATAGTAGATAGCCCTTACTGTGAACTGTGTAAACTAGAAATAGAGACAATAGAGCATGTATTATGGGAATGTGACAAAGTACAAAATCTTTTACAAAATTTTGAGTTCTTATTAGATGCATTGATTATTCCATTTGATTATAATAAACAAACATTTCTTTTTGGTTTTTATAACTATAACGGACTTAATAAAAGTGACAATAGTATTATTTTAATAATAAAACAGTATATATACAAGGCAAGATGTCTTAAAGTGCCTTTATCTATACAAGGAATTAAAAGTTCAATTAAAGAACATTACAGTATTCAAAAATATATTGCAAATAGTAAAGACGAAATATATCTCATTAACTTCCAGAATGAGTGGAAAAAATGGAAAAGGCTTATTGATATTTCCTAGACCTACTTTTTGCCGATTGTTTATATGTTTGATCTAATTTTAATTTATTTGAAAAAAAAGAGACAAAATTTAAACATTCAATGTATTATCTTAATTACTTAGCTACTGACACCTATATATTACCAGACTTCTATCCTTTTAATTGGTCTGTTTAATACTGGTACTTCTC